TGGCCGTGGTGGCGGCGGGCTTGGTGGTGGCGGCGGCCGGTGGTGGCGTGGTGGTGGTGCTGGCGGCGGCAGGCTTCGTGTTGTGGCGGCGGGAGGCAAGGTTGGCGGCCTAGTGGCAGCGGGCTGGTGCTGGCGGCGGCGGGAGGCAAGGGGGTGGCGGTGGCCGGCTTGTTTTTTTTATTTTTTTTCAAAAAAATGTTTGCCGGGTGTTTTTTGGGCACTCGGCAAAGTCTTTGCCGAGTGCCCAACAAAAAACACTCGGCAAAGACTGTTTGCCGTTAAACAATTTACTGAGTGTCGTTTGCTGAGTGTAACACTGGGCAAACGCTTTGCCGAGTGTTTTTGGGGCTGGCACTCGGCAAAGCAACTGTATCCCGTAGTGATGCTACTCCTCCTACCTTCTTCTTTGTTACTATCTCATTATATCCCTTGATTAGAGGCCGCTAGAATATATCCTTCTTGTAGACCACACTCTCCAAGTCGGGGGAAATTAGGCCATATATCAGATCGTGTGCAACAATATGTAATCTCATCGTCAAGAACTTTGCATCTACCTCGATGTTGTTGGTGTGTAGAATTGCAGTGTGGTCCAACGACTCCAAGGTAAGCACATGTGACCTATGGATAGCCCCATTTCCCCACAGCACCACTGGCAAAATTTGGTGTTTCCTATGAGCAGAATTGTTAACAGGCTCCACATCTTCCTCTGGATTTTTGGCCTCTGCCTTTGCTAGCTAGCTACTAGTCAAACCTATATGTGGTTGATAAACCTCCTACGCACGTAGAATGCATATCCGGCTTGTTCGGCTTCTTTTTTCAGCCGGAACAATATTTTCCTCTCACAATAATTCAGCCAGAACAGTGTTTTCAGCCAGTTTCAGTCAAAATTCTACCAGCCGAACGGGGCTATGTTCACATGCAAGAGAACGTGCAATTAACAGGGATTATTTCACAACATGGCGTGAGATGGTATTGCAGCGATGAGCTAGGTAGCCTAGCTAAGAAAGAGTAGTGAAGAGGTGATGGAGGTGAGGAGGATGGGAAATTAATTAAAATAAATGGGGAGCTAGCTAGCGACTGGTGAAGGAACAAATTAAAAGATAGAGAAAGGGACATGGAGAGGCCACACATGTGGAAAAAAAACCCGTGACATAGAAAACCATCGAGAAAAACCAACTTGTCAACCAATATGTTCGGGTGAGAGGCTCGTCGTTTGAAGTTTCTAGCAAGGTAGGAGAGGGGACCGTTGTATTAGGTGAGGTTGACACGCTACTTTGTTTGTTATATTTAAGTACACTACAGTACTCTCTGATCGAAAATCAAAACAGTGTAATGATGAATCCGCTCGTAAAATTTCACATACGTATATACTTGCTGGCTTCGGAAGCGCGCCGATTTCAACACGCTACTAACAAGTAGCCATTCCAATTGGCCCCAAATTAATGCAACTCTTAGAGCTAGCCGCATGTGGACTAATTCTTGTCCCCATCGTCATCAGCAGCTAATCACTGGATGGACACAATTCACACCGTCCGCATGAGCATGACCCTTGCTACGCACAGCACACGCAGCACAGCAGACAGTTCCGTTCCGTGTGAAGGTACGGCACATAGAGATTGCGATGGCGATGCGGTTGGCTGCTATATTCTGCACGTGGTCCATGATGCATCATGTCATGGAACCAACGCGGAAACTCATCTTTCTATTCCAGGCACCGTCAAACATGATGGAGCTAGCTAGCTAGCCTTTCGTCCGTTGCTACTCAAGCTAGCTCCCTGGCTGGCTGGCTCACCCGGCCGGCCGGCCTCTCTTGCTCCCAGTCTCAGCATCTCTGGCTACCTTAGCTTAGCTTGGTGATGTTTCTTTCCACAACGTGCGTGTGCCTTCCGGTTCCTGCAACGGCGACGGCTAACTTTCGTCGTGGGCACACGTCCGTCCTTCAACTAACCCCCTTAATTATGCGCATAATTATTCTTAGCAAACAGGGCCGTCAACTTTCCACAACTCACATCACGCACGCTACTAGCTAGTAGCTACTAGTCAGTCCGTCTCTTGCATCGCAAAAAGAAATCTGCAATTGCGCGCCCATGGCGAAAACATGCATGCATTCTGCAAAAGGCCAGTTTGTCCCGGCCCCCAAAAAAATATATAATATACTAGCTACTAGTAGGTGAAACACATCTCTCAAGACCGATGCCAAAATTTCATAGGCTAGTCCAAACAAAATAAACTAGGGATATCGTATCAAAAAATACTATTTTTTAACCCATGGTTTCTATAAGTAATAATTATTTTCTCTTTCTCTCTTCCAACTCTATCTTTTTCTTCCAATGGAAGTGCGGCACGAGCCCCCTAGAAACTGGTGGTTTCTCCTCAATGGCGATTTCATGGTTTCTTGGTGCATTGGGTCAAGAGAAGACCTGGTTTCTTCATGAGGAAACCATTTCTATGATTTTTGTTCTCTTTCTTCATTAACTACATTGCTATGTTAACATTTTGCCTACGTGGCAAGTCATTTAATAATGATAGAAACCATCATCAATACACGGACTACCCTTAGCACGTATGATTTAATTTGATTTGAAGACCCATGTTTAATTTATAAGAATTTTGATGCGTAGCTTAGTAAGCAGTAGTAGTAGGTAGTGAACTTTGTGGGGGTAGAAATAAGAGATATATATTATATTATATAAATAAATATAAAACATGTTGGATCGGAGCAGTTGTCTCCATATTATTCATCATGCTTGCCATGATCAGCAAACTTGCTACGGCTTTCTAGCTGGAAGTTGATCTTACACCCACACATGATGCATCCAATTCATGACGTGGACAGTATATATTTGTATATATTGATAGAAAGATACAATTGATTGATTGTGAACAGAAATAATGGCAAATTATATTATATATATATATATATATATCACTACCCTAGTTTACCACTGGTTCAAAATCCCCCTTCACTTACGGATTTTGAACCACGCATCGCAAGTCACAAGTCACGCGATTTTTCACATGAAAAACACAGGCTTCGCGGCCACCGGCGCTTGAACCTTGACCTCCTGCTTCGTGTCTTCAACCCCTAACCACTCCACCTGTAAGTTATTTGTGTCAAAATGAGATTTTCGTTCTAGCCATTTTATGTTCATCTGATTTTGAAATGAGTATTTGGGCCCTAAATGAATTCAAATGAAAAAGTTGTCAACTATAAAGTTTATAACTTTTCAAGATCTACAACTTTCATTTTGGTAGTTTCTCCACCCGAGGTCGTTTACAAAATTTGAATTTCAAATTTTAAAAATTCAAATATAGTTTTCCATGACAAGATGATTTCAAATGAAAAAGTTATCAACTACAAAGTTTCATACATTTTTGAGATCTACAACTTTTGTTTTTACTATTTGTTCATCTGAGGTCATTTAAAAAATTCAAACTTTAAATTTTTAGAAATTCAAACGTAGTTTTTCTTAACAAAATGATTTCAAATAAAAAAGTTGTCAACTATAAAATTTCATAACTTTTTGGGATCTACAACTTTCATTTTGATAGTTTCTCCATCCGAGATTGTTTACAAAATTTGAATTTCAAAATTTAGAAATTCAAACATAGTTTTCCTCAAGATGATTTCAAATCAAAAGGTTGTCGACTACAAAGTTTCATAACTTTCCGAGATCTACAACTTTTATTTTGGTCATTTGATCATTTATTCATCCGATATAATGGTAGTAACAATATTCACAAATATAAAATATCTCTCTTATAGTTTATGAAACTATAAGAGAGATACGTAAATTTTGTGAACAATGTCACTACCACTTTATCGGATAAAGAAATGATCAAAATAAAAGTTGTAGATCTTGATAAGTTCTACAATTTCTATGTTCATGACTTTTTAGCTCAAATCATTTAGTATTCCAAAATGACGTTTGAAGTTGCTATTTTTTGAAATTCAAAATTCAAATAGAGAAAACACAGTTACATGAAAAGATGGATAAAATAATAGCGGTAAGAACACAATAAATTGATAGAACATGATTTTAGAATTTTTTAGGAAAAAAAATCATCAAATTTGAAGTTAGTACCAGGAAGAAAGACAAGTTACAAGTTTTACTCAGATATTAAAAAGAGAAATTAGAGTTCTTTAATAATTTTAAAATTTAATTTTAAATAGTATTTTGAAGTAGTAAATGATTTCAAATGAAAAAGTTGTCAACTACAAAGTTGCATAACTTTTCGAGATCTACAACTTTTGTTTTCGAGGTTTCTCCATCCGAGGTCGTTTGAAAAATTCAAATTTTTAATTTGAGAAATCAAACGTAATTTTCGTTAGATAGATGATTTCAAATGAAAATATTTAGACATCCAAATGATTTCAAATTAAAAAAGTTTAAACTATAAAGTTGCAGATCTCGTCGAATACTACAACTTTGATATAGAGTTCATCTTAATCGGACATCATATGAGAAACTGATGAAGTTTCTTCCAGCATATCACTGTCGGTTCAAACCACAAACCGACAGTGATAGTATCAGTGTCGGTTCTTGGCTAAAATCGGCAGTGATGATCTAATATCACTGTCAGTTCTTGGCTAAAACCGACAATGAAGAACCAAATATCAGTGTCGGTCGATCCTATTACTACCGGTTTTAGCCAAAAACTGACAGTGATGGACTATCACTGTCAGTTTCTTAAAATCCAGCAGTGATGAGGTCGTCAATGATGTTCAATTCTATAGTAAGCGTATCTTTGCTGGATAGCTGCAAATATGTATGCTTGCTGTGTATCTCTTTCATATGATCATGATCCATATCGTACAAAAGTGTACACTGCTGTCTGCAATGAGCAGCAAAAACACTAAGTGGCGGGAAGTCCTCATGAATTTTAACTGTAATAATAAGTAGGAACTAAACAATCCTGATTTCAATTTGTCGTACTTACATGAGGAGGGTAAAATATTTTACTGGCCGGGGATGGGATGCATCGAGTGGAGAATATAGTCAATTCGAATTCCCAGACGACGCCGCAGCGGTGGCAATGGTGGGTTCCCCGCCTCTGCTCCTCACCGTCACGTTGAGCCCGCCGGCCATGTGCGCCGTCATCAGGGGCAGGAACACCGGCACGCGGCCCTCGTCGACGGGGACGAGCTCGAACCTTCGGAGCACGGTGCTGGCCACGAACTTCATCTGCACGAAGGCCATCTCCTTGCCCAGGCACGTCCGCGGGCCCGCCTGGAACACCGGGTACTTGAATGGCGACACGCCGGCCACCGCGGCGGGGGGCGCGTTGTCCTCCGGCAGGGATAGCCAGCGCTGCAGGCTGAAGTCGGCGGCGTCGGCGCCCCAGATGGACTCCATCCGCCCCATCCCGTACTGGAAGTAGGTGACGCGGTCGCCGCGCTCCACGCGGGTGCCGTCGGGGAGCACGTCCCCGGCCGCCGCGTGCTTCGAGTCCCACGCCACGGGCGGGTACAGACGCATGGTCTCGCACAGCGCCGCGTGGAGCACGCGCATCTTGCCCTGCCCGCCCGCGGCGTGGCTAGCACCAGTTCCGCCGGTGATCTCCCGCAGGACCTCCCGCTCCACGTCGCGGTGGCGGGTGAGCAGCCAGAAGAACCACGTCAGCGCCGACGACGTGGTGTCGCGGCCGGCCATGATGAAGCTGATCACCATGTCGCGGATCGCCTCGTCCGGGTACCCGCATTCGATCATCCGCGACAGCAGGTCGCTCCTCCGCCCGCCGGCGTTCACCTCCTGTGGCTGCTGCAGGCCGCGCTCCTTCTTGCGGATGTGGATGAGGTCCATGACGGCCTCGTGGATGACCCTGATCTCCTCGCGCAGCCGGCGCTCGGAGCCCACGTCCAGCGCGCGCTTCGCCTTCCACACGGCGGCCACGGGCGCGGCGCCGCGCCTGGCGATGATCCCGGCCGCCGCGTCGAACGCCACGGCCAGCCTGGGCGCCTCGGGCAATGCCGGGTCCAGGCACCCGGGGTCAACGCCCAGCGACACGCGGCAGATGACGTCGAAAGAGAAGCGGCGGAGCAGGTCCTGCATGTCCACCACGCCGCCAGCGTCGCCGCGCACCGCGGCCAGGGACAGCGCGGGGACGAGCCGCTCCCGCGCCTCGTCCTCGAGCACGGCGAACTCCAGGTCCCGGAGCGCGCGCGCCGAGAACTCGTGGCTCACCAGCTTCCGCTGCGCGTACCACAGCTCGCCGTCGACGTTGAAGATCCCCGTGCCGAGCAGGTCGCCGAGGATGTCGGTGAAGGGCTTCCCCTTGGGGTAGTTGCCGAAGTTGCTCTTGAGGATGTGCTCCACGTTCGCCGGGTTCGCGGTCACCACGGTCCGCCGCGCACCCAGTCGGTCCACCACGATCGTCTGCGTCGGCGACGCCGCCAGCAGCTCAGTGTACCAGTCCAGCAGCCGCCACCGGTTCTGGTAGAAGGCCACCAGGCACCCAATCACCGGGTAGCTCCTGGGCCCGCTGCCATGGCTGCAGCCGGACCAGCTGAATCGGACGCTGTACAGGAGGAGGAGGCAGCACGCCGCTAACCACAGCATGTAAAAACAGATCATGGTGTTTCCAGTACTTGCAACAAGAATTCTTTCTGGAGAGTGGTACTACGGAGAGAGCATGGGAGAGACTGTGCACACTATTCGGCGATATATATATATATGTATATATAGTATTACGGTAGAGGGGGAGGGGCCGGTACGAGGTCGGCAGGGTCGCCATTGGAGGTCCATGCCTCCTCCTTGTGTGTGTGTGTGTGTGTGTGTGTGGGGGGGGGTCCTTGTTAATGCCCACGTTTTAGTAGAGGGAAGCAGACCGGGGGGAGGAAAGCCAGGCCAGGTCTCCGGCCACTTGTTTGTCTGGCTGGGGAGTGGGAATTATGGGGAGCTCTGCGTTTGCCGTCGTCGTGTCGACCGCCTGTTTGCTCTTTTGCAAATCGGTTTCGCAAATAATTGTTCAATATCGCCATTCAATAATAATTCGTCTTAATAATGTCATAAATGCATATATAGTTGATATCGACTTGTATTTATGTTGTGCCCGGGCTAGGCTGCTTGGATTCGATTTGATGGAAGAGAACTCTATTCTTATTATTGCAAGGATTTGTGGAATAAATTGAAATGTTCTTACCATTCTAAGAAAAAAATCTCAAAGCCATGTATCAGCTTGATGTACTGCTTCAGGGATGCAATAAAGTCCTCCGTTTAAAAAAAGAAAAGAAAATCCAAGACAAAATTCCGTGGATCGGATGACTTATTAGTTATTATTATTACCGTCTATTATCTTTTATTAGGCGTGTGCTGATTTTTCATTTTTTTCGCTATGTTCTGTGTGGAGTTAGTTTCGAGGTCAGAGTCACGAGCAGGCTTTGGCAGCATTTAAACTTGATCGCAGCAAACTTGAAACATTTTCTGGGTGGGAGACGTCAAAAACAGTTCATGGTGATATGCTGGCTTCTTCTGGTTGGTTTATTTCACTGCGGCAATTAAACGTCGCTGTATGCATGCATGCATGAATCCGGCATAAAGTGGTCATTGTTTAGTGTCATTAGTTTTCTTGGTATTTGTAAAGCTGCTCTTCACGCCTAAAAAAAGAGAATGGAGGGAGTACTTGTGTACCTAGAATTTTCCTCGTCCAATGTTTCCTTCCTTCTTCCATTTTGTTGAATTATGACGGTCAGTCCTGAAATTTCAAGGAGGGCACAAATTCTTTAGATTTTCTCTTCTAGAAAATTAAAGTGATGATGACCAGGCGGGCTCCCGTCACCTTTATTTAATTTCATTAGGCTGCTAACCAATTAATGCAGGTATGCACCACCGACGGTATATGGTTCATACCTAGGTCTCGTTTAGATTGCAAGTTTTTTCACTCTCTCTCCATCACATTAAATCTTTGGACATATGTATGGAGTATTAAATATAGATAAAATAATAACTAATTACACAGTTTGATTGTAAATTACGAGATGAATCTTTTGACCCTAGTTAAGCCATGATTGGACAATAATTGTCAAATACAAACGAAAAGTGCTACAGTGCCAAAATATTGATTCCTAACCCCAATCTAAACAAGGCCCTAGCCAGAGTTAGGACTGTGTTGGATTTTGAGCACAAATTTGTTAAGTTTTCCAAGCTAAGATGCTCATCAATTAAATTGGCTGGAAAGCCAATGTGTAGGATTCAACCGGAAGACCACAAGTGACCCAGTTAACCTAAGTTAGCGGTGCTAACAAGCTAATATCACAACTAATGGGCCTGGGTAAGAGAAGAGAGGTTCTTGCTATGTTGCACAGCATTGCCAAACCAATAGATAGATCCAGAGGAAATAGCATGTGTTAATACAGATCTTGGTGCAGATCATGCATGTTACCCTTTGATTATGATTATATAGATATATGGAGAGAGATATGCTATGATATGATTCTATCCTCATAAAAAAAATCTTCATATGTATATATCAAATTCAAACACATTTGCAAATGCATCGACAACAGATATAGCGCAATCAGTTATATATTAGTTCAGAAATAGTATTAAAGACATAACATGTGTAATGGGAGTGATATATATTATATGTTCCTTCAAATCAAATCACATCTGCACATAAAAAGGATTAAATATCATCATAAATGAAAGTTCAATTGCACCATGCACATCGTTGTTTTACAATGATTTTTTTGGAATTTTACATTTATATATATTATCATATAAATACTTTGTCTCTCGCTAAATTTGTTTGTTACAGATTTAAAAAACCTATGCAGTGTTAAAACTTATTTCTGTACGAAATGAAATAAGTTTTCTTGGAGATCAACCTCAGTATTCCTTTGTGTCAAATTCTACCGATTCATTCAAATGAAACCGTGAATTCATTTCAAGTGAAAAACAAATCTGCTGTTTGCCAGATATATATTAAACACACATGTGCATCGATATCTGTTTATATTAAAACACATCTGAAAGACAAACTAATCACACCTTCTCAAAAGCACATCAACTCCCTTTAGTTTAAGCACTATGCATAACTAAACATTTGGGTGTGTTGCTCGTGAATGAATTATTGTTGATCCTTCTCGTGTGTTTTCTTGTGTGTGTGTGTTGTGAATTGTGCTTATGCAGCTGTCTCGTATCAGTATCACCTAGCCCGGCCTCTCCTTTAAATTTCTAGGACTTGTTTAGATTGGGTTAGGAATCAGTATTTGGTACTGTAGTACTTTCGTTTGTATTTGATAATTATTGTTCAATCATGCTCTAACTAGGCTCAAAAGATTCGTCTCGTAATTTACAATCAAACTGTGTAATTAGTTATTTTTATCTATATTTAATACTCCATGCATGTGTCTAAAGATTTAATGTGATGGAGAAAAAGTAAAAAAACTTGCAATCTAAACCAGGCCCCAATCTCCAACTGTCCTTGCAGAGATGGATTTCAGTGCCAACGATGACTCTTCTATAAATTAGGGCAGGGTGGTGTTGTCTGTCAGCAGGGCATCTTTTATGTTTTAAAATTCCTGCGAGGAGGAGTATAGATCAGTAGAGTACTGCCTTGCCTTGGGCAGTTCAACGTCGACATCCATGGGTGCTTCTGTGTAGCAGTTGTTCTTTTTTCTTTCTAGTCCCTTTCAACCTCATGCCTAAAAACAAAGTCTAAATTAGAAAATTTGGCTGTTAGGATAAGTATATAGTACACAGAGTCCACCTCTGAAAATGACGTTTAGATCAACATGTGATTAGCTATGGTGAACTAGGAGTTATCCATGTCTTTTCAATTTTGGAGTAAAAAAAAATCAGAATTTGGAATCTTTTTGCATAGGAGCATCTGGGGCAGGAAATTCCACGATAGATTAGCTAAGTGACAATAAGCCTTAGTTGAGAGGACAGCAGTAACTAGTTTGTCAGGTTCATGCGAAGAAGACAACGAACGTAACAATATGGAAGGTTACTCATAGGCACAGTGCACCCTGCTTTTTTCTTAATAGGCAGTCCAGCCCACTACTAGGACTATGATAGCAACAACCCCTAGAGTGTAGCTAATGGACACAAGGAGTCTAGCAGTAGGGAACCTAGCTAATTGTAGTTTTGTACTTCGATTCAGCAATTGCTGTCGTTTACAATACATATGTACTATTATGTTTTGTCTAGAGCAACTACATATGTACGTTTATGCAGAATCTTTATTATTTAGTTGCGTACATGTCCTCCCAACATAAACGTGGGCACGAACAGCAAAGCTAGAAACAAGACTTGTTCAGGTCCTTACCAGAGTCCTATAGATGCTCATATTAACAAGTTTTAAACTGTATAAACAATGCCCAAACCTTTTCGTCATCGACTACAACAATAATTGAGTACCAAGAATAATTTATGGGCCTCCAACAACCATCTCACACCGCCTAGAGTCCTAGCTTCACCTTTGGCAATGCCTAGAAAAATGCTAAGAGCATGGCTAATAATATAGCCTGCTGCTGGTTGTACATATGTATTACGACCCATCTGAAAGCTCAAGCAAGGATTTAAAGTTCAAACTAAGATCATTACGAAACCAAATGTAGCAAACCAAGAGTATCATCATGCCATCTCGAAGGATGACGAACATGCAAACCAAGTATTATGAGTACATCCCAGAAGTATCAACTCCGGACATCGCACGGGGCAAAAGACGAACCAAAGTATCCGACTCTCTCACTCAAGACGACTGCGACCATGACCAAGCTAAGATGACAGCGATGGCAGGAGGACAAGACTACTCACGGGGCAGAGACTGCCGAGGGTCCTGAGGCAGCTGCTGTGGAGTCAAGGACACCCCTGATAAATTTATACGATTGTCACGCTGATCTACGAAGACGATGGTAGTATCCAATAGACACGAGGATTTATACTGGTTCAGGCCAGAGCCCTATGTCCAGTCTAAGAGATGATCGAGTGCGTGTTCCTCACTTGAATGCTCTGAAGTTCTTACAATGGGGGGTGCAAGAAAGGTGGAAGAGATGGAAGGACCTATGCTAGGCGAAGGGCTGCCCGAAGAGAAGCTCCAGGAGCCCTACTACAACGGTGAATGAATGGAATGGTAGAGAATGTGAATCTCGTCCCCGAGATGGGTGCTCTGGTTGCCCTTATATAGAGTCCGGGGCCAGAACTTATACAAAGAGGATGTTCTCCCGACCGAAGGGTCGAGAGCCTGAGGGAGGGCCTAACTAACTTAGCTTGCAAGCTACGCCGTCTCCTGTGCACGTTCGGTCGTGGCTATCGTCATCGTCTTCTGGCCTCATAGCGGCATGATGTGACGTGGCGCTACTGTGCCGGCCATGGCGGCACTGTAGCCTCGATGGCAGTTCGTCAGTTGTCCTGTGCAACGCGGTGTCCGTTGTGGCCTTCGTCATCGTCTCCTGGTTTCTAGGGGCGTCGTACCCAAAGTAGGTAACCGCCTCGGGTCGTCATTCGTCTGGTGGCTTTACAAGATTGAGAGCCACGACCCCGATCGTCGGGGTCAGGGCACTCTGTCGGTCTGGATGCCCATTCCGTCGGGTCCCTTGTCACCGATCCCATCCCGTAGTGGGTGGGAT